AGTTCGTACCTGACAAATGGCTGTCAAAATGTCGCATTGATACATTTTTGCGGAACTCAAGGAACAATTTTTTCCTGCGTTTATTTGATATGGTGGAAGAGAGAATCGCGAGTGTAGTTGTTTCATCACTGAAAACTGCCAAATTGGAGTGAACGTAGGAAATCCCAATGGACGATGGTCATATACAGCAGCTGGTTTCATTCATCACAATACTTGAACTTACTTTCTCCTCAATATTTCACGTCGTCCCAGCTATTGTCGCTATTTCATCGCATCTCCTCCGAGCAGTCAAGACAGTGTTGAAGCCATCAGCCTGCAGCCCTCTGGCATCTCTATTTTCATCACATCACCAGTGATATTTTTTTTCATTTCCTGTCACATCTATTCAGCCACATAGTGGAGACATCATCCACCATCCAGTTCGAACTTTTTCGCCCCCCCCCCCCCCCGCTACCTCCCAAAGCGGCTTTCCCTCGTGCATTTCATCCCTCAAGAGCACTGCTCTTGATTGCCGGGCAGATGACATTATCCTGCGCTTGTCTCATCGCAATTAGATTAGCCCTTTGCAACAGTGGGGTGGGCGGCACTCGAGGGGACACAATGATGGACGCCCTGCACCCTCAGCTCGGGCCAGGACGCTTAAAGGGCCCTCGTATGCTTCCATTTTCCGTAATGCATCCACGTCTCCGCTCCGCCTTTTGGCCGTTTCTTTAACCTTGCCCTCTTGATGCACGAGCTTTTGGGTTTCTGCTGTGCCAGCAACCCGATCGCACGGCGCAACCAAGTTCTCGGTGTTTCTGACTCACCTCCACGGCAAGGACGTTTGTAAGGGAGTGGAACGGAGATTTTTCTTCGTGCGATGGTGAGGCAACACGTCATTACTTCCTTAATTGTACTGTAATTGTTGCGACTTGATTTAAAACTCTTGCCGTTGAGTCTTTTCTCAAGAAACCCAAAAACCAATGCATCCTTCTTGTCCAGCGCTCATCCTCAACTGAATGAAGCCAAGTAAAGCGAGCAAACCGTCACACCGTTGGCGACTAATTCTATCACCGGGAGTGCAAAAACGAAGAAGATGAAGGAGGTGCGGCGCGAGGCAGAAATACATTTTTACGCTCTTATTTGAACACGCATTCATTTGTCTCCATCTGTCCTGACTTCAAAAGGCAGCCTTCGCCGCATTCAGCGCCACTGTTATTTTTGCCACTCTCGCTTTTGCTTCGTATTCAAAGTTTGACATTCGGCGATAATTGCGGATGAGTAAAATAAGTCGTCGTTACGCGGCGCCAGCAGACATCCGGTTCAATCGACAAGGCGTGAACATTATAACAAATGAGCAAGAGATTAGCGTCTGAAATGAGTGATAACCACAAGAGAAGGAATTGAGGAAACCCGCAGAGGCGCCGAGGACTCGTCCCCGCTTCGTCTATATTGCTGACACGGAATGAAGTCGGTCAGGGAATCAATAGCTAGTCAAGGATAGGAAGCGCCGAGGCTGAATGATGATGGCCAATCATCTGCATAGTAAACACGCCGGCCCGCTGCTTTTGTCCCAAACATAATCAAAGGTAAAAGCATCGAAGTCGATGCAGTGAAAGCGCTCGGCGCAGCGTACCTAAGCAGCCTCGCATATACCAAGAACAAATGTCTTTAATAACTTATGACACTGCCGTAGCTCCGCCACTGCACAGAGCACACATCATAAATATGCATCTGCTGGCCTCTGCTGCTTTTCACCGGGTCCGGGAAACATATTAAATGTCACTCTCCGTAATTTCATCTCGCTTTCATTGGTGCGGCGTGGCGCAGAAAGCGAAGACATCATCGGTTTACAGGCAAACGGCGGAATACGCTGCGTCCGTATCGTATTCTAGATATCTGTCACGAGCCTCCTGGGTGAGGAGCGAGGCCAGAGAATGACAAATGTCAGCGTGTCAGAACCGTGCGAATTCAGCCGTATGCGGTGGGACAAAGGGGGTAAGGATGATGGTGTGCTCTTTGTTGCCATGGCAACGGCCCTCGGAGGGGTGGGGGCATCCGAAAGAGGCTGGCGATAACAACCCAGAGAACATGTCAAAACGGGAGATAACGACAAGCCGGTGAATGTCGGCCCACGGGGTCATCGGGGTCGCGAGTGTACTCCTTACTCTGTAAACAAAAACAGTGTGGCTCAGCCTGTGGCCGCTGGGGGTCATGGTTTGCCACATGTCTTTGGTGGTACAGTGGAACCTTGACTCATGGGTTGTATTCGTTCCACGACAGACGTTTGAGCTCACTTTACTCATATACGGTATAGCCAATCAATTTCTCCATTGTGAGACCAATAAAGGTTTTCTTATCTTAAAATGAATTGAAAAACCATTCATCTGTTCTACCCATCCCCCACTGCCCCCCTAAAAAACCAAAACACCATAATATGAAGTACCTGTACTTAAATTTGCACCGAGAGCCATGTGTGGCATAACAATAACACCACTTTGTAGTTAGTCACTCAAAGCTATGTGCGGCCTAACAATCATGTGCATCTGTGGTCAAAATCTCTGAGTTACTGTGTTTGTCATAATTGCATACTTTTGTTGGCTGTCATTCTCAGAGATATCGTTGGCAAAAAAACAAAACAAAACCCAAAGAGAAGGTTGGCATAACAATCACATGCACCTCAAGTCAAAAATCACTCTCAATATCTCGAATCAAAATATCTCTCCAAGCTGTTTTTGGCATAACAATCTTACGCCTGTTTTTGTGGCATACACATCACATGCTTGTGTTGTCAGGGTTTAGCAAAAAAAAAAAAAAAAATCACTCTCAAAGCCGCGTGTGTGGGATAAAAAGGACACGCCTGTGCAATCAGTATCTCCCCCAAAGCTGCGTGTGGCAGAACAGACACACGTCTGTGTCATCGAAATCCATCGAAAAGCTAGCTGATGTCACACCAAAGTAAATTTTGACATTGGCTTCTTGATGGAAATGAGATTGAGCCCTTGGATTTAGACAGGCAAGTGTTTTATCTGCCCTAGTCCGTTGGTTGGTCATGATGTCCACATTGCACTTCAAAACATCATTTCTCCCCGTTCCTTTGGGTCATCTTGACCCGGGTCCGAATGCGGTGTTACTTTCTTGTGCCGACTGCTCGGCAGAGTTTACTTAGCTCAAAATGAGGGCGGTCCTGCGGTCGTTTCCCTAGTTTTCCGCCTCGGGAAAAAAAAAATGAGGAGGACTATTACGAGATCTGAAATTGGCCGAGGTAATCAAACCCAGGCAGATGCTTAATATTTGGAATTAAGCAAGATATTAATATAGCAGGGCTGATAGAGTGGTTGAAACCCCCAGAGGCAAAATTACGCAGGTTAATTAAAGTCTCCAAATACACCCTGCCTGCATTTCTATTTCACTCTGAAACACGCAGCTATAAATATGTGCAGTTTTTTTTTTTTTCCATTTACCAACAATTACAATAATCCCAAATTTAGTTAACCTTCAACCATCTATTACAGTGTTGGATTGGTGATGGAATTTCCATTTGCTCAAATGTGCTGCACATACGTAAACGGCATAGTAGCGCGATAAAACCATTCCTGGGGGACTTTCGGGTATCTTAAAGTGAGGGTTTTTTTTTTTCCCCCTGATGAATTTTCAGTTTGACTCCCTCCATCTGAAAGCGAGCTGTAATCGACACTCCTTAGTTTTTCAAAATCGGCGCCTCACCTTTTTTCAATCAAATTCCTTGCTGTCACCTGAGCCACACAACCGTCAAGTTTCAAAGCAAAGCGAAAGAGTCGTGCGCTTGGTGTGTGACGTTACCACGGCGACCGGATGCTTCTACGAGCACGGCCGCGAACATCCGAGCCGGCGTCGATGCCATCTGCGAGTAATGAAACGGAGCGAGCAGACAAAAGGCACAGGCGTCCGCGCTGGCTCCGGCTGCAGCTCCCGTTGAATCATTAATGCGCATCCAGATTGAGCCCGGCCGGGCTCGGTCTGCTGCTTCGCAGCCACGCTGACAGGTGGCGGCCCCCAGTCGCAACCGGGACGCATGAAGGGACGGACGAGCCAAGGGGCACCACGCATGCAGTCACGCTAACGGGGAGGGACATGAATCGCTGCTTTCACGTTCGTTGTGAAAAGTGGTCCAAAGTGTTTGTTCTCACGAATTCGGGTTAACGCTATCCAGTTGTGCAGGAGGCGGACGAAAAACGGGAAATGTTTTGGGTGCTTTGATATTGTTTTCTTCCTGAAACACGCTTCAAACCAATGAAACGCATACGAAGCCGTTAAGTGCCTTGCAAGCTTTTTGGGGGAAATATTTGGGAGATGTTGTTATGGCAGCATCATGCTTTGAGGTGGTTTAGTTTTTTTCCCAACCAGATGGAACTGGTGCCTTGGGCAAGCTAGAGGGAATTATGAACAGTTCTAAACAGCGCTCAGTATTCGCACAAAACCTTCAAGCTTCTGCGAGAAAGCAAGTCGATAAATAAAAGTCAAGAAAAGCCTACGAGAGCAGCCGAGTATCAAAATCGAAGTAAAGTCTGCGCTTTATGTGGGAGGCACTTTGAGCGGTGGCGAGCATGTCCGTGCAAACTCCTGTGGAACGTGAATTTGAATGGGATTGGTTCATTCAGAACACAGCCACATCCCTCGTTTGCAACACACTGGAGTATCCGCAAATGCACTTTGGCCCACTGCAAGTAGGGAACGAACAAATGGTAACTGAATGGAACTGAGTACATGTTTCTTCGTAACTGTATCGAAGTCAGAAGTGACTTTATGTAGTGTCTGCAACAACTAACAAAAGTAAAATAAGATGTCAGGGAAAGGCTACAAGATCATTTGAATTTGGGGGGGGGGGCACTCTAAATCCTGGCAGGTGTGCGATTTCTCTTCACGTGTGTGTTGGTGTTTGCGTGATTTTGCGTGAGTGATACGAGGCCGTGCGAAGAAAATGGACACGTGGCTTCGCCGAGAGGGCGGGTCCGTGGTTGCATCGTGCGCGCGCACGCGCGCGGCATCCGGCGAGTGGCGCTGCTGAATGAAACAAGGGGAAGGCAGGCGAGCAGGTAGCAGCTGAGCGAGCTCCTCCACAAAAACGCCACCGAACGTGGCCGCCGCCGCCGCTCGCTTGCTCAATTCGTGCAACGGCACTCCCCCCCCCCCCCACCCCCCAAAACTCCCAAGTGCCACCAAAGTGAGGGTCGATGTCGTCGCGATGACGTTGGACTTGAACAACACGTAACTCGGATGTGGTGAACTATTGTGCAAAGTGTCCGGCTGGTCGGGAGCGCGCACGCGCGTGCGGATTATTGGCATTGCTGCTCTTTTTTTTTTTGGTGGGGTGGGGGGGCGATGATGATGATGATGATGATGACGACGACGGCTGTGGCGACTTGGTGCCTGAGCGTCTTGACGCCGGTGCTGTCCACCTCGGAGCCGTCCAGAGGCAGCCACCGGCACGCGGTCTACTGGAACAGCTCCAACCTGCTGTAAGTGCAGACCCTCGCACTTCATACACCGCCCGCCGGCGTGGGCGGGGGTCGCTCTTTGTTTGGCGGAGTCGTGGTCGTCCATTCACTCTCCGCAATCATCGCGCTAACCTCCAGAAAGCACATGCAGATTTCTTTTTGGGGAAGGGGGGCAATCGATGGCGTGTGGGCAAATATACCCCGAAGCCTTCACAGCATTTTTCAACATTTTAGGCAACTATTCTTTAAAAAAAAAAAAAAAAAAAAAAGCCAAAAATTATTTAAATAATTGAATCCACAAATGCCAGTTACACGTGTTTGTTTATCATATGTTGTTTTTCAGATCAATTCCGTTTTTGTAAAACAAAGTCATGCAACTCAACTGAAAAGGAGAAAAACAAAAGCTGTGGTGAGGACGGGGAAGCTTGGAAATCTGAGAATGAAGGTGACGGGTCATTTGATAAATCATTTCAAAACCGGTTCCCAAAAAAAAAACACCTGATTCAATTGAAGAAGAAGAAAACTAGATGGAAAATACTTGTTTGTGCATCGTTTAGCTGTTTAATTAAAGTATTAAAAGTGCTTTCTGCTTATTTATTTTTATTTCAATGCTTCCCCCACCCCCCTTCAAAAATATTCCAATTCATTCTGAAAAAATCTGTCGGGAAAAAGCTTTTGTAGTTGGCAAAGTGCCTCCAAGATGCAGACGCAAGTCAATGACGGTGTTAAAATATCACGATGTCCCCCCAAAATAGATGGCTTAATAAACCTTTGCAAAACTTTCTTTAAACGTGACTATACACTTGAAACGTAGAATTTGCCGTGTTTATCAAAGTGCTGGACTCTGGCTCCCCCGGTGGAAGGTGAAAGTATCACTGAATGAAATGGTCAAATCCTGCAGAATATTGGCGGCGTCCACTGAAGTACGTTTCCATTATAGAACTTCCGACGTGTCATAGCGACGGCGCCATTTGCCCACTCGACACTGGCTTGTCACTTAGGTCTGGGCTCGGGTCAGCACGTGGCCCCGAAGCTCTGATCGACCGCGTAGCGCCGAGATCGATGCCGTCTCCGCCGCCTTTTGTCTCCTCCACTGCCACTCGCCGGTTCTCACGTTCTTTCAGCCGCTTCTCCTCACACAACCTCAGCCAGCCCCCCCGCGGCCCTCCCACACCCACCACCATGTTTCCTCGCTGCTCGCCCCATCTATCCGTGCCCCCCTCCAAACCCGTTTGGCCATTTGTATTCGCCTCCTATCGCCCGCCTCCATCTCCGAGTTGCTTATTTTCTTGCCCCCCCCCCCCCCCGCACCCCCCCAGCCCGGTCTCAAGCCAGACGGGCCGTCCCTCTCAATTCCCCCTTCTTTTAATTTCCTGCTTCTCATTACCAAAAGCTCCATCTGCTCGCCGCAAACCCCCAAACTACTCAGCTGGGAGTACAAATACAGCAGATGATTCATATTAGGGGTTGGCAGAAAGCTGCGGACCAGCGTTTACGGGCTGAGGGAACTTTCAAACGAGGGATTTTGTGGGGAAAATGCCTCGAGAAGCCACATTTCCTTCTGAAGTTCCACCCAGGGACCTTGAGTTCTTGGGACCTGGAGGCCCCGCAACTGAAAGGGCCCACAGTGCCCCGATAAAATGCAAAGCGGGAGTAGACATCATCCAATCATCCGCCTAAATGAATTGAAATGAATGTTAACATTAAAACTAAAAACTGTAGAAATTCAATCCGAATACAGTAGAATATGAAAGAATACCTCTATAAACAAAACATAAATTCATAAAGAATAACACAATAAAATCTGTTTCAAATTTACGTTTGAATTAAAAAAAAAAACATTGCATACTGAAAAAATAAATTGGGTAATATATGTATATATGTGTGCAATTAAAATTCTGTCACATAGGCTAAAATTCCATCCAAAATGGCACAGTAAAAATGAAAAAATCAATAAAATAAGTTTGCAGCAAAAAGCAGACAAATCCTGCAAGGTTACATCAGGGAACCAGGATGGACTTCCCCATTTGAAGGAAAAAAAAAAAAAAACACTGAAGTGAGCGCCGTTCTCGTCCGTTCAACCATGCGGCTGCTTTTCCCTCTCACCTGCTTCCGTTCGGAGATGCAAACTCTCGGGCGGCGGAATCCAGGCCAGAGGAGGCAGAAAGCGAGAGCGAGTCCTCCAGGGCCAAACAGCGAGCCAGGGACTTAATGTTTGAGCCTGCGGCACGATGGCGCGGCATTACTGCAGATGACTTTGACGCAGCTGCAAGAAATGAGATCAGTGCGAAGCCAAGCCGTGTGTGCCAACGTGGTGAAAATGGCTTTTTCTGAGAGTGACGAAAAGACGCTTTTGGCGCGGTGTGCTCTTTTGATTTTGTTCTGTGGCAGAGTTTGTCCATGCGTATGTACGTTGAAGGAGCCTTTTCGCGAACCGTAGTCAGCCGACCACCAGGGGGCAGCCACATGGTCGGGGCTCCATTAAGCTGCGTAGCTAGCAAGCAAGCAAAAGTTGTCCGGGCGCGTTTTGGATTCACGGCAAGGGACAAGCAACTCGTGCATGTGGACATGGTGCATGGGAAGAGGACCTTGAAAATATCATTGCATAGAATATCGCAATTACAAAATTGAGGCGGGTGTTGCAACAAAATCTTTTTGGGGGGTGGGGCCACGTGGGGGGGGTATTCTTGATTATTCATTTGAAAATGATAGTCCATTTGTTGTAAAGTTTCATGTTGCGTTAAAGGGTTCACAGGTTGTTTTTTGTTTTTGAAGAGTAGTGCAATAACAATAGGGTCGAGCGGTCTCCCCACCCCCCCTCGCCCCGAGATGATCATTTGGCCAGAACGTTGTGGCAGTCAGCGGGGGTTCAGTGTACCTTTTTGTTGTTGTTCGCTGAAAAAGCGACACCAGCGCGAGTCAGTGGCACCGTAGTCAGGAATGCTTTGATTGTCGCTCAGGTCCGTCACCGGCCAACTTGTTACAGATGTCCCCGCTAATGGCTGACGGAGGCGGGAAAACACACACACACACACACAC